ACGAACCCACAAATTCTTTCAACAGTCAAGGTTCTGGGAGTCTTTAGGAGACCGCAAGAATAACGCCCAGGTGACAGTAAACCTACCACCAGCCCCATTCTTTAGCTGCTGCATAAGCTCAGCGGTACACACACACACACACACACACAAACACACACACACACACACACACACACACACACACGCACTGTTCTTCCACTAACCCCCAGGGAGCCTTCCGGTCTCATGTCCAGCAAAGCAGTAGACTCCCAAAGCGAGGAGTAGAGTGGCAATGACATCAGTGACAATGATGCCAGCCAGGGTGGCTGGATACAGCTCCACACAGTTCTGGCACACTGTGGGGAAGGGAGGAGAGAGGAGAGGTTGAGAGCCTTTAAGATCAGGGAACCATCTCTGGCTCCTAACGCAACCCTGAGATCTCTCATGCCAAAACCCAAACTTCAATAAGACCCTGGGAAAAAAGGCCTGGTGATAGCCTTGCCACACCTTCCTCCACCCTTCATCCTGAGGAATCCCTGAGGAGAGCCAAGAAGTAATCTCAGCTTTGTGGGACCTTGCACAAGGTGCTGGGCCAAACCTCTCACCCGACCAAGGCTGCAGTAACATGGCCCCTACTGCTCTGTCTTGCTGAGTTAAGCTCTCTCTTCCGCTTCGAAGGTGCCCAAACCTGGCTTGTACCACTGCAATAGTGACCTCAGTTTGTTTAGAGAACAGATGGGTCCACCACAGCCCCCTCTAACCAGAAAGTCCAAAAGCCCCATCCATTCCAACCCAAAAGGTCCAGGAAGCCCATACTTCGATAATAAACTTGCACGGTAGATACTTTGCCGGCATATTTTTCTGTCCCAGTACACTGATACATTCCTCGTGGGTCCAGGATGCCTTTTCCCAGGTCCAGGCTTGTATTCTTTGCGAGCAGTGTTCCCACCGTTCCCTCTACCCATGTGATGCTGGTATTGCAATTCACAAACACTCTGTCCTCAAGTTCCTCTACAGGTATCTTGAAGGGGCTCACTAAAGGGGAAGAAATACTACAATTGGAAACAGCTTTTTGGTCTGCACCAAGCCCTTTGTTCTGCAGAAGCTCATACTTTAAAAGGACCCCTTTCCTAGTCCAGGACAGTCTATGATTTCTATTGAGAGAGACAGAATTCACAAACAAGAAGAAACCTTCAGAAAGTTCCCTGCCAACTGCAGGGGCCAAGGAGGACAGGAGGATGCTGTTCAAGCAGGGGACAGGTCTTGGAAAACTTGGTGCAAAACAAGACTCCTCAGAGCATGGTTGATTCAGGCACCTTCCTGGAAATGAGTCCAGGACGCCGATGAGGAGTACAGGGAGCGTGGATCACTAAAACACCAGAAAGATATGGAAAGACAGAAGAACATTCCTTGGTTGGAAATGTCTGCATTTTTTCTTCAAGGAAACACCTAATTCTACTTCCCAGCCATCTACAACACTCTCACTTCAACTCTTTGTCCTCATCCTTCCTCATTGACCCTGCTCCAGTGACAACCAAGAAAGTGGGGCTCTCAATACTGAAGCCTTTCCCAGGGCCAGGGATGGCTGAGGGTGGAGACCAGCTGGTTTACCAGTCCCTGAATTACCAGCCCAGTGGTCCAGAAGGGACCAGGACAAACCCCATGTACAGATTTTCCACCCTTGGTTAGAAGGAGGAGAACAGGAAAAAATTTTTATTCAATCTGTTCCTGGAGCTCCTCACAAGTCAAGTCTTGGGGGAGAGTTTAAGGGCTGGAGGTGAGTCCAGCACCATTCCAGATGCAGTGAGTTGCTTTGACAGCCTGAGCACATCTCCACAGCCCACAGAAGCACTATAGTCTATACCAGGCAACTCCAGACTTTTTACACAGGGGGCCAGTTCACTGTCCCTCAGACCGTTGGAGGGCCACCACATACTGTGCTCCTCTCACTGACCACCAATGAAAGAGGTGCCCCTTCCTGAAGGGTGGCGGGGGGGCCGGATAAATGGCCTCAGGGGGCCGCATGTGGCCCGCGGGCCATAGTTTGGGATGCCTGTTCTATACCTCCAAACACAGGGAAAAGTGGAGGCTACATTCATTCAATCTGGGCTTCACACTGGGTCACAAAATTTGGACACAAGAGCATCTTCTAGAAAACCCTAAAATAGCTGCCTCTCACACTTCTGAAGCAGGTTGGAAGCAGATGCGTGTCCACTCAGAGAGACACCTGCACACCAAATGCTTCACATCCTACAGTCGCATCCTCTTCAGGGATCTGTCTCCAGTGGAAATCATGAGTGTCCTAGTGCCGCCGACTATTCGGTGACCATTGGACCCAGTTTGCTTAGGGGTTCCTGGGACATGGGACTTTCCATTTTAAAAGTGAAATTGGCAAACTGAGATGCGTTGAAATTTTCCTATGTGATAACCCCTCAAATCTTCCCTCCCTTCTGCTCAAACTAAAGTTAACTTCTCTAAAAAAGCATTCCCATTAGTGCTAGGACATAGCTCCAGGGATGACATAATTATGGCCAAATGAACAAGAGTCCTGATTACAGAGGCCATCAGCCCTAAAAGGAATAGTGCAGGAAGCTGTGCTCCCAAGACCAGCCCCAGGTTCAGGTACATACATACTGAGCTATTTCCTACAGATCTCTGGCCTAAGGCCTTGTGAGAGACATTCTAGGCCTACATGCACCCGTGGCTGGAGTCGGTCAAAGTCAAGAGTCTGTTTCCCAGACTCTATGCTACATCCCAGCCCTGCCATCCTGACACCCTGGGGTGCCTGGTGAATTGAAGCTGGCACTGAGAAGCACGTGTGTGTGTGTGTGTGTGTGTGTGTGTGTGTGTGTGTGTGAGAGAGAGAGAGAGAGAGAGAGAGAGAGAGAGAGAGATGAGGTCTCGTGGGGTTGCCCAGGTTGGAGGGTAGTGGCATGATAACAGCTCACTAAAGCCTTGAAATCCTAGGTTCAAGTGACCCTCCTGCCTCAGCCTCTCAGGTTGCTGGGACTACAGCTGTAACCACCATAAATGGCCAATTTTTTTGTTTTTCATAAAAATAGAGTCTCACCACCTTGCTCAGACTGGTCGCAAACTCCTGACCTCAAGGGATCCTCCCACCTCAGCCTCCCAAAGCTCTGAAATTACTGGCATGAGCCACCATGCCTAGGAAGAAGCACTTTCAAGTGGGCCTCACTCCCAGCAGTAATGTCCCTCTCAGGTCCCTTCCTCCACCCACCTGGAGTAGCCTTACCTTGGGGGAGAAGGGTAACCAGTACCAGGCCAGACAGAAACATGCTACGTTCCATCTCCCAGCGGAACTCATCCAGTAGATAAAGCCAGGTCACCGAACTAACAGCCGGGTGAGAGCTGCCCTCCCCCAACTGACTCTAGGTACCGGAAAAAGTAGAGTGGGGGAGGGACTAGAAGATGTCTTGCTTCTCTGCTTTCTGCCGTTGATGACGGCAGACTGTCAGGGTGGGGGTGGGCTAGGAGTAGGTTAGGAAGGAAGCAGGTGTAAATTGCTCTATCTCTGAGCAGGGAGCTGGCAGAGAATATGGAAAAGGCGGCCTGAACTTTAGAGTCCCTATTCACAATGCAACTACGTTTACTCACCACCTAAAAACTGCTGCATCCCAAAGCCCCCTGAGAGAAGCCATCAGCCCCATAGCACAAGCCATAGCAGCTAGGTTTCTCATGGAGGCTGGTCTTTCTCAGGACCCTTCACTGGGCAACTAGGGACACCAGATCTAGCAGCTTCTTGCCAGTGAGAGGCTGGGCTTTAGAGACCTCAGCCAGAGATTTGAATCCTGGGTCCAATACTGCCTACCTGTGGGACCTGGGCCAGCCATGAAATTTTTCAGAGCCTTATTTCGTTAGTACCAATATAAAGATTCAAACAAGGATGTTTGCTTGGTGCCTCACACATCATACGTGCTCAAGAAGGGCTAGTTATTAATAATAATATAATTGACTCACAGGCAATATTGAGCCTCCCGGGGAGACAAATGGACCTTCTGCCCCAGTGGCCAACAAGAATCTGAAATGCTTCACACTGTTGCAGTTAGACTGTCATTTACCTGAGGACAGAGCCATGCCTGTCTTGCTCACTGCTGTATCTTGTGCCTGGCACGTAACAGGAGCTCTGCACGTTTTTGTTGGCTCACTCACTCACTGACTGAGGGAGACAGGGCCCTGAGATCCTGGACACTCAGTCCCAGCTCTGACCCCTGAAAATGTGGTGCCTGTCTTCTTGGACTTGTTCCACCTATTTCCTTCCAGGCACCTCTTTCATGACCTCAAAAGAACAGTGAAGGTGGGCGCGGTGGCTCACGCCTGTAATTCTAGCACTTTTGGAGGCTGAGGTGGGCAGATCATGAGGTCAGGAGTTGGAGACCAGCCTGGCCAACATAGTAAAACCCAGTCTCTACTAAAAGTACAAAAATTAGCCGGGCGTGGTGGCATGTGCCTGTAATCCCAGCTACTCAGGTGGCTGAGGGAGGAGAATTGCTTGAACCTGGAGGCGGAGGTTGCAGTGAGCCGAGATCACACCACTGCACTGCAGCCTGGGTGACAGAGGGACACTCCATCATAAAGTAAGATAAGATAAAATCAACAGTGAAAAAAAGTCTTGAATGAAGGCCTGGAATGAGGTGGCTTTCCACTCAGAGGTCCAGCCCTAAACAGCTGAGAACTCCTCCTAAATTCATTACCTATAGCAACAACAACTAGCAACAAGTAACAACTGGCTACAATCCTAACAACTAATGACAGAGATATTCCTCTCCCTCGTGAAGAAACGGTCCCAGGACCATCTCCCACCCAGCATCCACTGCGGTTCCCTGTGCAAGATGAGCTCTGAGTGGGAATCCAGCACTCTCTCCCTCTCCTTCCTCACCACCTCCACCCTCTACTCCTTAACAGAAAAACAAAAGGCATCTGCACCTGCAGCCCTGCCGAGGCCCCTGCTGCCCACGCTTGCAGCAGAGGGTGGAGGCTCTGGGTGCTTGCCTTCTCTCAAGGGCCCCAGCCTGAACGGTGATGGGTGGAGCCAGTCTAGCTGCTGCACAGGCTGACTGGCTGCTAAGGGCTGCTCCGCGCTTTTGCCAGAGGACAGGGACTGACATGGAACAGGGGAAGGGCCTGGCTGGCCTCATCCTGGCTCTCACTCTTCTTCAAGGTAAGGGCCTACTAGGGGTCTGGCAGCCTGGGGAAGGGCTCAAGGGAAGAGGCCATGACTAGAGAGACAGGAATATTGGGATCCCTAACCTTGAAGCTACTTCTGCTGTCTCCTTAGTGTCCAAAGAAAGCCAAAAATGGAGCCTCTTAACTGTTCTCTGCTAGAGAGAAACAGTGTCCCATGGGGGAGAAGAAATCCTTGTCTCTGAAAAATCCAAACAGAGTACTTAACTGGCTAAAGAGAGGACCCTGTTACCGCCATCTTAGGTTCGAATGTAGCTCAAAAGGCCATAGGCCAGGAAACTAAAAGGAAAAGGTATATGTTCCCTTGTTCAGAGCTGGGGGTTAGCAGTCGACCTATGAAACGTCCATTCGCTCAGTTGGGCAGTTGGTCAATTGGTCAACGAAGATGGGTAAGATCCTAATATGTGATAGACCATGAGGAAATAAAAATGAATGAAACATTTATGCACTACAGAATTTATAGTCTCCTTGGAGAGATTAGTTTTCATGGTGCCAGACTGAGTGTAAGGTACAGTATGCATGCCTGCATGAATATTCCATTGGAAAGATCCAGTAGGAAGTGGATAAACTGGGTTGATGCCTGGAATCTGGACATACTAGGGAAAGTTAAAACCATGGAATTTGCTGAAGTCACATCAATACTATGTGAGGAAAAGGAGGCTGAAGATGGAACAGTGAGGGCACCAATTTAAAAGGGCAGTTAAAGGAAAAAATAAATTTCAGGAAAGAGATAAAAGGAAAATCAAAGAGCTGACGTAATCAGATGTGTGCAATACCTTGGAAACCAAGGGAGTAAAGAGCTTCTAGAAGGAGAGAATTACCAAGAGTATAAAATGTTAAAGAGAGCCCACTAATATAAGAATATATTTAAAACTTTAAATCTGTGGGATGTGGCAGAATACCCGTCACGGGTGAATTAGCACAGTTTCAGTGGGATATTGTGAGTGGAAGCCAAGTGAAAATTGGTAGAAGGTGATGGTCAGGTGATGAGGTCAGCAAGTGTAGACGATTCTTTAAAGAAATTTGGATGAGCAGGGAGAAGAGACTGCATGGTAGATAGAGGAGGAAGTGAAGTCTAAGAATAAATGTTTTTGAGGTGAGAGAAACTTGAGAACATTTCTAAGCTAACAGAGATGAGTAGAGCAGTTTCCTGGAGTTGATGTTGGAAGGATAGAGTCAAGAGTAGAGTCGGCCGGGCGCGGTGGCTCAAGCTTGTAATCCCAGCACTTTGGGAGGCCGAGGCGGGTGGATCACGAGGTCAAGAGATCGAGACCATCCTGGTCAACATGGTGAAACCCCGTCTCTACTAAAAATACAAAAAAAATTAGCTGGGCATGGTGGCGCGTGCCTGTAATCCCAGCTACTCAGGAGGCTGAGGCAGGAGAATTGCCTGAACCCAGGAGGCAGAGGTTGCGGTGAGCCGAGATCGCGCCATTGCACTCCAGCCTGGGTAACAAGAGCGAAACTCCGTCTCAAAAAAAAAAAAAAAAAAAAAAAAAGAGTGGAGTCAAGAGCACAGAGGGGAAGGTATTGTTACCCTCCAAGACCAGGAAAAAGGAAGTGCAAATGGTGGTGGCCACAGGTAGGTTTATAAAGGGAATGGAAGCCAAAGGAGAAAGGATCATAACAGCTACCATGTCCTAAAAAAACCAGGAGGCAAAAGCTGGGTAGTGGCCGTGTGGGAGACTTGAAGAGGACAGTGAGAGTTTAGAATAGAATTATTTCTGAGAGAAATGGGAGGAAAAGTCAACTAAAAACAACACAGATTGAGGAGCAGCTCTGAAGCCTGGATGAGGTGGCAGGATAGTATGGAAACAGCATTGAGTTGAGCAGTAGAAAACCTGACCTCTGGGTCCAGCCTGGATACCAATGTACTACGTGTGCTTGAACAAATCCTCCTCTGAGAGTTCTCACACCAGCCAATCTAGAAATGTGGCTACATGACCTCTTAAGACCTAAAAGGAAACCTCACTCAGATATACAACATTAAAAGACGTCAGTGGGCCAGGTGCAGTGGCTCATGGCTATAATCCCAACACTTTGGGAGGCCAAGAAGGGAGGATCATTTGAGTACAGGAGTTCAAGCCCAGCCGTGTCTACAAAAACTACAAAAATCAGCCAGGCATGATGGCATGCACTTATCCCAGTTACTCAGAGGCTGAAGTGGGAGGATTGCTTGAACCAAGTAGCTCAAGGCTGCAGTGAGCTGTGATCACACCACTGCATTTCATCCTGAGTGACAGAGCAAGAAAAAAAAAAGATGTCTAAAAAAAAAAAAAAAAGACATCAATGATCAGTGCAATCCAAATCCGATTTAAAATGAGGGGTCTCTGTCCTTCCTCTGTCTTCTGACCAGGTGGTCAGGAGAAGAGCTAGATAGAAACCTCTTATCTGTTGTCTTGCTTTTTCTCCTATTTGCCCATTTATTCATTTGCACATTCATTCAACAAATAAAGTTCCTGCCTTGTCCAGACACCCCACTGGATACTGTTCAAAAACAGTCCAGCCCTGCCTGAGGTTCTAAGACAGTTCGCTTATTCTGTTTCCACTATACTTTGACTCATGGCAGCCTCTGCCTGTCACACACACTCTACCTCTAGCCATACCACCTCTCCTGTCCTTTTTGAAAGCTGTATCTTATTCAGCTATTCCTTCTACTCAGAATGCCTTATCTGTCTGGTATACTTCCTGCTTACTCTTCAAGGCCCAGATAAATGTCACTTCCTCTATTAAGCTTTCCCTGACCCCCACCCTTGGGCAAAATTAATAGCTTCCACCCTCTTTCATATGCATTCATATAAGCACTAAAAGATAATGTATAGGCCGGACGCAGTGGCTCATGCCTGTAATCCCAGCACTTTGGGAGGCTGAGGCAGGTGGATCACGAAGTCAAGAGATCGAGACCATCCTGGTCAACATGGTGAAACCCCGTCTCTACTAAAAATACAAAAAATTAGCTGGGCATGGTGGCACGTGCCTGTAATCCCAGCTACTCAGGAGGCTGAGGCAGGAGAATTGCCTGAACCCAGGAGGCGGAGGTTGCAGTGAGCCGAGATCATGCCATTGCACTCCAGCCTGGGTAACAAGAGCAAAACTCCACCTCAAAAAAAAAAAAAGATAATGTATAAGTTCTATTAAATTAATTGAATATGTATTTTAATTTTTTCACTTCATAAACTTTGGAAGCACCAGCTGATTCTTCATATCAGCAGCCTTTTCTTTCATAATATCTAATTATTTTAGGTCATAATAGTGCTCATTAAATGTTTGGATTAAATACAATTGAATTGAAGTGCCAGATCTCTGTAGTATGTCTGCCATGCAACTCTACTACCCTAAGATTTTGTTTGTTTGTTTATTTTTGTTTTTTTGAGACAGAGTCTTGATCTGACACCTAGGCTGGAGTGCAGTGGTACAATCTCGGTTCACTGCAACCTCCACTTCCCAGGCTCAACCATTCCTCCCACTTCAGCCTCCTGAGTAGCTGGTACTACAGGTGCATACCACCACGTCCAGCTACTATGTTTGTATTTTTTTGTAGAGACAAGGTTTCTCCATGTTGCCGAGGCTGGTCTCTAACTCCTGGGCTCGAACAATCTGCCCACCTCAGCCTCCCAAACTGCTGGGATTACAGGCGTCAGCAACCACGCCCAGTCACTCTGAGTTTTTGAGACAGATTTGAGGACTAACTGAACAGCTAACTTCCCTGGGACATCCAGCATTTTTACCAGAAAAGGATCACCAAGGCTGACGATTTTATAAGGAGCTCAGCTTAAAGGCTTTGGATAGTGCACACCTGCTCCTTGCCAGGGCGTTTGCTCAAGAAGCAGAGTGTTCTGGACTAGATAGGCAATATACTACAACACAATTCTGATGCTAACCCCCCAAATTAGTTGTCAGATCATACAGGTTAAGAGCATGGTTCCCAACCAGATTACTCTCCCTTTAAATCCCAGCTACAAGTTCAGGGGACCCCAGACCACTCACACTTCTGACAAACTGCGTACAAATCCTAAGGATTCCCATGACCTGCCTCATTGATAATTTGCTAGAATAACTCACAGAACCTAGGAAAGTGCTATACTTCCTACTTCCATTTTAAAGAGAATAAAATCAGGACCAGCTAAATAAAAAGGGCAAGGTCTAGGAAGGTCCCAAACACAGAGCCTCCATATCCTCTCCCCATGGAATTAGAACACATCGCCCCCAGCACTCTCCCACACTCTGCCAGCACATCCATGTGTTCACCAGCCAGGAAGCTCCATCAAGTTTTTATTGATGTATCTTTACATAGGCGTGGTTGATTGAATCATCGGCCACTTGACTGATCTCAATCTCTAGGTTTCCTTCCTGGGGCTGATATCACTAGTTTCAAAGCTGCAATCCTCTTACCATACTGTTAGTCTTAACCAGCACCATCCTGAGTCATCACCATAGCATAAACTCAGGTATGGCCTAAGGGTCCACTGCAGATAACAAAGGTACTTCTATCACTCACGAAATTCCAGGAGGTTAGAAACTCCATCCCAGGACACCAGGACAAAGATGAGACAAATTATTTATTATGACCTTGATTCAATTTGGTAACTTAGTCAGATTTGGATCTCTCTTTATCTTGGCCTCAAATAACCATGGAAATACTTTAGGGCATCAGAACAACCCCACACCAGCTAATCCTCTATCTCTCTTCTGCCTTTACAGGTACTTTGGTCCAGTCAAACAAAGGTAGGAGAAATATTTCTCTCTATACTCAGATTCAGAAAATTGATGGAAATTTGGCTTTCTACAACAGTAGTCCTGCAGGAGCGAAGTTTAGAATGAATAAAAGCATGGGGATAGATGGGTGGTGTCTCTATTGTCAACCAAATCAGTGGCCTGTCATAACCTGTTGTGGGCAGCTTTCCTATGGCTCAGCATTTAACTGGTTTCTTACAGAAGAAACAGAACCCTAGTAGCTAGACACATCTCAAACCGTGACCCATGAACCAGCAGGTATTGGTGTCACTTGGGATCCTGACCTCAATCTCTGTCAGTCCTTCTCTTTAGTTCATCCATTCTATTCAAAGTCATCTCATTATCTAGTATGCTGTTAGCAGTTTCTTACCTGTATAGTATCTTCCAAATAACATGCCCCTCAATCCCAAAGTTTTACTCCTACTAATTACAGCAATGTCTATTTTATTCTTCACCTCCTGATGCAGATATTGACATCACCCGGGAGCATGTGAGCAATGCAGAATCTCCCCTCCCCAGAACTACTAAATAGCAACTAAAATTTTAACAAGATACCCATGTGATTCACATGCACATCAAAGTTTGAGAAACACTACTCTAATGATCTCCTGGTATGCTGAGGCAGGGAGAATTTCAGAGACAAGATTCTTAATAGAACCATGGCTTTTCCCATTTCAGAAAAACGCTTGCTCACGTTGGAGGACCGTCAAGATGGTTCGGTACTTCTGACTTGTAAAGTGCAAGACAAAAATGTCACATGGTTTAAAGATGGGAAGATAATAAGCTTCCTACCTGCAAGTCAAAAAACATGGAATCTGGGAAGTAATACCAAGGACCCTCGAGGGATGTATCAATGCAAAGGATCAAAGAGCAAGTCAAAACCACTGCAACTGTATTACAGAAGTATGTAATCCCTTTTTATTTATTTGTTGTGAAATTAATCAGTATTTGCTGTTCTGGTTGACTTTTTGTCTGGGGTGAAGGTGGAAATAGATGCTCAACAGAGATATTATCATCAGTTCTCTTAATTTCAGCTTGCCTCTTTTAAAATATTATAAGACAGCTCCCTCACCCTATTGAAAAAGTACAGCCAGTACTGTAAAGCTTTGTTTACTTTTGGGTGGGCTCCATGGATTTGAGCAATTCAGCACCTTCTATAAACTGAGTGGAAGGGATTGGGGAGACGGGGCAATCACAAGGTGAGCAGCAGTGAGGACTGGAGCACAGTGGAGCATGAAGAGCATCGGGTCTTCCTTCTGTTCCACATACTTCCTGGTAGTTAGACTACATGGGCTTCCCCAGGAATCCTGCGGGACTGAGGAACATCAAGGTGCATTGAGTTTTGGTGCAAGGATCTTCCCTTGCCCTGCCACCCAGAGAGGAAAAGCCAGCTACCCTCCACAGGGGCATTATTGCTTATAGGCAGAAGAAAAAGATACAGGAAGAACAACTTTCACACCCTTAAGGTTTGTCCCTCCTTTTCCCCACAGTGTGTCAGAACTGCATTGAACTAAACGCAGCCACAATATCTGGCTTTGTCTTTGCTGAAATCATCAGCATTTTCTTTCTTGCTGTTGGGGTCTACTTCATTGCTGGACAGGATGGAGTTCGCCAGTCAAGAGGTAAAAGAATGCTCTTAGATGAGCAATGGGACCACCTGAGCCCCTCAGCTTTCCTCCTACCATTACATACCCAATAGAAGAGACTGAGTTGGCACCTCTTACTAATGTGCGTAGTTGGGTGAGGCTGTATTTCTCTGAGACAGGAGAAAAGGATACTTGGTGTTATCACAGCATGTTCACCTATCTCAAGATACAACTCCCTCTGATTTAGCCTCTGTTTTTTTTTAAACCTCTTTATTTTAAGCAAACCCTTATATACAGAAAAGTGACTCACAAGCATACAGCTAAAAAAAAAAAAAAAAAAAAAAAAAAATCACGAAGCAAGCACACCCATGCAGCCAGCACACAATTTAAGAAAGAGAGTATTCCCAGTGCCATCGAAGCACCTCCTGTGGTCACTTCCAGCCACTACCCATCCTCAAGAGTGAGCATTGTCCTGACTTCTAACCAGGATTAACTGTGCTTGTTTATGTAAATGGACTCATATGCTAAGTGTTCTTGTGAGTAGCTTCTTTCACTCAACAATATGCTTATGTGCTTTATCCATACTCTTGTGTTTATATAATTCTTGTTATTTAGTATTCTATTTTGTGAATATAACCCAATTTATTATGCATTCTACCTTGTGTGTGTATTTTGTTTCTTTTTGTGCAGCTTCAGACAAACAGACTCTGTTGCCCAATGACCAGCTCTACCAGGTAAGGGGATGAAGAACCAAAGAGACATTGCTGTAATTAGCGGGGGTAAAACTTTTGAACTGGGGGAGGGGGGCATATTATTTGGAAGATACTATACAGGTAAGAAACAGCTAACAGCATACCAGATGATGAGATCACTTTGGGTGGACCAGGTGAACTAAAGAGAAGGACTGACAGAAACTGAAGTTAGGATCCAGTGAGCACAAGTTGAAGAACACACTGAGAAGGACATGTGAAGGAATTCTCAACAGGCCAGCCATGCACTGTAGACAGGCTGTGGCTTATGCCTGTAATCCCAGCACTTCGGGAAGTTGAAACAGGCAGATCATCTGAGGTCGGGAGTTCAAGACAAGCCTGGCCACCATGATGAAACTCTGTCTCTACTAAAAATACCAAAAAAAAAAAAAAAAAAAAAAATTTAACCGGGCACGGTAGCATGTGCCTACAGTCCCAGCTACTCAGGAGGCTAAGGCAGGAGGACCACTTGAACCCAGGAGGTCGAGGTTGCAGTGAGCCAAGATCACACCACTGCACACCAGCCTGTGGAACAGAGCAAGACTCTGTACAAAAAAAAGAAAAGAAAAGAAATAAGACAGAGACTTTATCTCTTGTCCTCTTTCAATCCTCAGGACTATGAAGTACCCACTCCAAATTCTCACATATAAAAAAACATTGAATAAATATGCATCAAATTAATTAATAGAGGATGGAAAAAAATGACCTTATGATTGTGCTGTCCTTTCCAGCCCCTCAAGGATCGAGAAGATGACCAGTACAGCCACCTTCAAGGAAACCAACTGAGGAGGAATTGAGCTCAGGACTCAGAGTAGGTGGGTTCTTCAGCTGCCCTCCCAACTGCTACCAAGTCTATCTCCCTTCCCCAAGCAGCTATAAAGATCAGACTCTGGGGGATCAGGGATTGGGGGGTGTTTTGGGGGGCTCTTTTGTAAAAACTCTGGGGCCATACTGATTGTCTTGGCCTAAGAAAATAAGAATGTGTGTATCTGTAAGTCCTGTCAGGCAGGGCCTCCAAGCCATACAGATGCCGAATATTAATCTTAACCTGTATTAGAATTTCTCATTATCTACACTATTAACATTTCGGGCTAATTAAATATTTGTGATGAGGGGCTAGTCTGTGCATTGTAGGAGCTATGGAAGTATTCCTGGCCTCTCTCCACCACATACCAGTAGATTGTCCAGTGTGACAATCATAAATGTGTCCAGACATTACTAAATGTGTCCGAACATCACCTCCAGGGCAAAATCACTCTTAGTTAAAAACCACTAGCTTATATAAATCTTCCAATTAACAAATCAACCAATCAGAAGTTATGATTCAATTAATCTATCTGAAGATTCTATTAGGAAGACAGGGTTGAAAGCATTATTTGGTATTTTGAACCAATTGCAATTTTTCTTTTTTCAATCCAGGTTTTCTTCTTCTATCAAGTTCTCAGAATCAAAGCAATACATTTTGGAAAGCTCCTAGCAGAGAGACCTTCAACCCTAAATCTAGACTCAAGGTTCCCAGAGGTGACAATGGAGAAAAAAGGCCATCAGAGCAAATTTGGGGTATTCGCAAATAAAATAAAAATAAAAACAAGTGTGGTGTTTCAGGAGCGCCACCTATTGGGGAAAGTTGTAAAAGAAAAATGAAAAGATAAGTAACCCCCTCGATTTGAACGTAGTTTTTTGCGTTGTAATTTTTATTTCGTTTTTGTATAGGTCATAATTAACATGGTTCAAATATGCAGTGAAAGATCTCTCTCCACCGCCATCCCCTGCGACCCAGTTGCCCTCTCCAGAGACAAACTAGTTTTTTTTTTTTTTGAGACGGAGTTTTGCTCTGTCGCCCAGGCTAGAGTGCAGTGGTGCAATCCCGGCTCACTGAACCTGGGTTCAAGCAATTCTCCTGCCTCAGCTTCCCCAGTAAGTAGCTGAGATTGCAGGCATACACCACCAGGCCCGGCTAAGCTTGTTTTGAACTCCTGACCTCAGGTGATCCACCCACCTCGGCCTCCCAAAGTGCTGGGATTACAGGTGTGAGCCACCATGTCTGGCCTTAAAACTAGTTTCTTTTTTTTTTTTTTTTTTTTTTTGAGACGGAGTTTCGCTCTTGTTACCCAGGCTGGAGTGCAATGGCACGATCTCGGCTCACTGCAACCTCCACCTCCTGGGTTCAGGCAATTCTCCTGCCTCAGCCTCCTGAGTAGCTGGGATTACAGGCATGTGCCACCATGCCCAGCTAATTTTTTGTATTTTTAGTAGAGACGGGGTTTCACCATGTTGACCAGGATGGTCTCGATCTCTTGACCTCGTGATCCACCCGCCTCGGCCTCCCAAAGTGCTGGGATTACAAGCTTGAGCCACCGCGCCCGGCCAAAACTAGTTTCTTATATATCTCTCTGGAGGTATTCTAGGCATATATGAGCACATTTTCAAATACATATTATCCTACCTCCCCCATCTTTTAGACAAATGATATCAAACTATACATCTTACGAGATTATTGCCTATCATTATATAAAGACCTTCTTTTTTAATGCAGCCATATTGTATAAGTAGACTATGATTCATTTAACCTGCTATCTATCAATGGATATTTAAGTTGGTTCCAATCTTTTGCTCTTACAATTTCTACAATGACTAACATTGCATAAATATCATTTTTTAAAAATAATTGCATTGAAGCATAATTTACATGCCATAAAATCCACCCATCTTGACTGATTTCACCTGTTCTCAAAAAATTTTAGAAAATTTAACTAGTTGTACAACCATCACCATGATCTGGCTTTAGGGCTTCTTTTTTTTCTTATGGAGTCTTGCTCTGTGGTCCAGGCTGGAGTGTAGTGGTGTGATCTCAACTCATTGCAACCTCCACCTCTTGGGTTCAAGTGATTATCCTGCTCTCCCAAGTAGCTGAGACTTCAGGCATGTTCCACCATGCCCCGCTCATTGTTTTGTGTATTTAGTAAAGACAGAGTTTTACCGTGTTGGCCAGAATGGTCCCAAATTCCTGACCTCAAATGATCCACCTGCCTCATCCTCCCAAAGTGCTGAGATTACAGATGTAAGCTACCACATCCGGCCCCAAACTGTATTTGAATATACCCATTCTGTGGGTTTAATATGATGTTTTATTGTAGCCTTAATTTGCATTTCCCTAGAGACTAACCATGCTAAGTGTCTTTTCATATGTTTGTTAACCATTCATAACTTTTTAGTGAAATGTCTCTTCAAATCTTTTGCCCATTTTCAAGTTAGTTTATTTATTTGTCTTCTTACTATTGGGTTGCATATATTTTTTATATAAGTCCTTTATCATATATATGATTTGGAAATATTTTCTATCAATCTGTGGTTTGTTTTTCTTAATGGTGTCTTTTGAAGTGCAAAAGGTTTTAATTTTGAAGTTCCTTTTATCGATTTTTTTCTCCTATATATTGTGCTTTTGTCATCATGTCTAAGAAATCTTTACCAAACCCACAGTTACAAAGATTTTCTCCTATGTCTTCTTTCTGTAGTTTTCAGTTTTATGGTTTTAGCACCAACAATAAATATCATTTTGAACATACATAAGACTATTTGTAACAAATACAAATAAATGGAATTGTTGGGCACTTGAATTTGCTTTGTAATTTTATTAACTGTTGCCAAATTTAACTTTATAGAGGTTGTAAACACACACACACACACACACACACACACACACACAAGAATATATATATATATTTGCGATAGAATCTTGCTCTGTGGTGCAGGCTGGAGTGCAGTGGCATGACATTGGCTTACTGCAGCCTCAACCACCCAGTCTCAAGCAATCCTCCCACCTCAGTCTCCTGAGTAGCTGAGACTTCAGGCATGTGCCACCATATCAAGCTAATTGTTTAATTTTATTTTTGTAGAGACAGGGTCTCATTATGTTTCCCAGACCAGTCTCAAAGTTAGTCTCAAACTCTTGGGGCCAAGTGATCCTCCCACTTCATCCTCCCAAAGTGCTGGGATTAAAGGTGTGAATCACCGTACCCAGCCAGGTTGCACCAATATACACTACCAATGACAATAAACAAAAATGCCTGTTACTCCATACATGTTCCAACAGTGTATTATTAAACTTTTGAATCATGCCAACCTGAATGGCATCTCACTATAATTTTAGTTTACATTTTTCTCATTAAAAATTGTTGGCTGGGCATGGTGGCCCACACATGTAATCCCAGCACTTTGGGAGGCCGAGGTGGGAGGATCACCTGAGTTCAGGAGTTCAAGACCAGCCTGGCCAACATGGCAAAACCCCATCTCTGCTAAAAATACAAAAAATTAGCCAGGCATGGTGGTGGGTGCCTGTAATCTCAGCTACCCGGGAGGCTGAGGCAAGAGAATTGCTTGAACCTGGGATGTGGAGGCTGCAGTGAGCTGAGATTACAACATTGCACTCTAACCTGAACAAGAGCAAAACTCTGTCTCTAAAAACAAAAAGAAAAAAAAATGGAGTAAACTGTTTTTCCTTCCCATGATATATAAGTTCACATCTTTGGTCTTTTTCTTATTGACTTACATTAACCCCTTACATGTTTGGGAAACTAGATCTTTTGTGATATTAGTTGCAAGCCTTTTTCCAACTTTATGTGTCTTTTTTTTTTTTTTAACTTTACTTATGGTCAATTTTCCACGCATATTTTACAAATATTTGCATATCGTAGAATTCACTGGTCTCTGATGGTCTCTAGGTTATGTTTCATATTTTAAAAGTCTTCCTCCACTTCTCCATTTTAAGATTATCCTTTTTAAAAAGTTCCCCCATGAATTCCTCTAGCATTTTTATGGTTTTATTTTATGCATTTATATCTTTGACCCATCTTGAATTGATTCTAGCATCAGATCTAATGTAGTAACCAACTTTAAATATGGATAGTTACCCAGTTATTCCAGAAATAATATTGAATGATTCATCCTGTGTTCATCAATTTTAAATGCTGTTACAACTCCACTCACCAGATTATAAACTCCAGGAAGGAAAAGACGTAACGGTTTTTCACTATGGCATCATTAGGAACTAGAACAGTGGCAGGCACATAATGCCCAGGGCTTTAATAGATATAACCTAAAATTTATAATTTTAAACTTCTTTTTAAAAAAAGACAAAGTCTCACTCTGTCATCCAGGCTGGAGTGCAGAAGCACAATCTCAGCTCACTGCAACCTCTGTCTCCAAGGTTCAAGCGATTCTCCTGCTTCAGCCTCCCAAGTAGCTGAGATTACAGGCGCACATCAACATGCCCAGCTAATGTTTGTATTTTTACAAGAGACAGGGTTCCACCCTGTTGGCCAGGCTGGTCTTGAACTCCTGACCTCAAGTGATCTGCCCACCTCTGCTTCCCAAAGTTCTGGAATTACAGGCATCAGCCACTGCACCCGACCCCATTTTAACCATTTTTAAGTGTACCATTCAATGGCATTAAATATATTCACAATGTGTAGCCATCATCACTATCCATTTTCAGAACTTTTTCATCATCCTAAACAGAAACTCAGTACCCATTAGATCAGGGTCCCCAAACTCAGTCCGCGGGCCGCATGTGGCCCCTGAGGCCATTTATCCAGCCCCCCGCCGCACTTCAGAAAGGGGCACCTCTTTCATTGGTGGTAGTGAGAGGAGCACAGTATGTGGCGGCCCTCCAACGGTCTGAGGGACAGTGAACTGGCCCCCTGTGTAAAAAGTTTGGGGATGCCTGCATTAGATAATAACTCCCATTCCCCTCTCTCTCCAATCCGTGGTGACCTCTATTACACTTTCTCTCTCAAGGAATGTGCCTATTCTGGGTACCACATAAAAACTGAATCATACAGTATTTACTCCTTTCTGTCTGGCTCATTTCACTTAGCATAACTTTTTCAAGGTTCTTCAATGTTGCAGCATGTATCAGAACTTCATTCTTTTTCAAGGCCAAATAAGTAACTGCAGCTATATACCATATTGTGTTTATGCATTCATCTGCTGATGGATATTCTGAGTTGTTTCTACCTTTTGGCTATTACAAATAATGCTGCTGTAAACATAGGTAGACAGGTATCCAAGTTCCTGCTTTCAGTTATTTTGAACATCTATATCAAAGCAGAATTGCTGAATTATATGGTTATACTATATTTAACTTTTTGAGGAATTATCAAACTGTTTTTCCAAAAAGTCTGAACTATTTAACATTGCCATCAGCAATGCATAAGGGTTCTAATTTCTCCACATCTGTCAATTATTACGTTCCTATTTATTTATTTATTTGAGACAGAGTCTAGCTCTGTCACCCAGGCTTAAGTGCAGAGGTGCAGTCTTGACTCACTGCCGCCTCCACCTCCTGGGTTCAAGTAATTCTCCTGCCTCAACCTCCTGAATAGCTGGGACTTCAGGGGCGTGCCACCACACCCAGCTAAGTTTTGTATTTTTAGTAGAGACAAGGTTTTACCATGTTGACCAGGATGGTCTCAATCTTCTGACTTCGTGATCCACCTGCCTCAGCCCCAAAAAGTGCTGGGATTACAGACGTGAGCCATGGCACCTAGCCGCCCTTTCTTTCTTTTTTTAATAATAGCTATCTTCGTA